TGGCTACGCACAGTGTAGAAGATCAACATCTAACCTTTGTGGCATTAGGGAGGTGGGTTAAACAGCGCGGCCAAGAGCTCGTGGAAGAATGGTGCCAGAAGTATCAGCTGAAACAATACAAAGATCTGGACCTATTCATGCGCTGTAAACGGCCACCGGAACTGGCTCCACGGAGATGGGCTCACCATCGTCTTGTTACGGCAAGAACAGGCCACGGGGACTACGCCGACTACCATCGACGTTTCAACCCCGAACATGAAGGTCTGAAATGCCTTTTGCGGCCGAGAGAAAAGGCCCTGGAAATTTTCAGAGTGCCGACATGCTTTGCAACGTTGGAGAAGCTGTGAGAAAATGGCTCCACCTGGGGCTAGGGAAATGATAGGGGAGAAGAGATGGCAAAAGTTTATCCAATTCTTAACCACTAGCAGATGTTAAAGTCTACCGAAGAATGAATAGGGTAGGAGGTGACCATGCTGAGATTGTTTCTAATTCGATAGGAGATGGGTGTAGAAGATAGGGATGCGGCGCAGGGCACCGTAACTCAGACATATACTTTTCCTTTTGTTTCATTCTTTTCTATTGTCGCTTCTGGCTTCACTGCCGGTCATGTAGGTATTTTTTTTATGCATCAGATTTTAATTACGTATGCAGCTATCTAGCTATGACACAATATCAAAGAAAAGTACAGAAAAGATGACTCAATTTACAAGAAGAACGCTCATGCCTCAGATTTCGTTTGCAAGTACCACTGCGAAGTTATGGTGGCTTTTTCTTCACCCCAAGTCAACCCTCATCTGTGAATACCCACCCAGGGGAACGTCTCAAAAACCCTGAGTTATCCAGACATGCCTCCATCATCCATCAACTTTTCTCCGCGCGAAATGTAATCTGAGATGTCTCCTTCCCAAGTGGAGTAGGTGCCCAGGCTACTGAAACCATACCAGAGAACACCACCAGGAGGCGGACCACGGCACCTTCTATCGTCGGCTTGTTTTTATAGTGTCAGCTGCACTCTCGCAAGCGAAGTCTTGGCGCGCACAAAGCTCAATTTTTAAAAACTCTTTGCCAAAATTCGAAGTTTCGCGCCCGTCGAGAATGTATCCATTCTTTGCATCATCTTGTAAACTTGTCGTAATCCCTCTCACGTTCATCCCAAAGAACTGTCTCCCAGATTTGTGCGCCACGCTTTGCTTCCTCCGTCGGGTGTGAATATCGGCGCGGGAGTGTATTTGGTGGTCAGCTGAGGCCAGAGAAAGTCGAAGAGAGGCGTGGTCATTGGGATGAGGATGTACTAGGTCGTACTTGTAGACTTGATAAGGCGTAGGTAGGAGTCAAACTCGTTGGGAGCGAAAAAACGACGTGTTGGAGTAATTTAAATCATTGCCTCGTGGGCCAACTTCTTTGATATTACGAAATTTGACTGAACTTGGCTCTGGGAGAATATTTCACTCCTAGGTTCGTAGAAGGCACCGCGTACAGGTGTTCCGTCTTGCCCTCCGATCATGTAGGTAGCAATAGGCTTTTATAGCCCATCAACCCGTGTCACGTGTATATAGATGTTAGGTTCTTCCTGTCACGTAAAAGATCTCGAATTTAAACTAGCTTGCGCCTACAAGATAAGGATGGGCCCTATCGCCTTAAACAGCCCAGCCAAAACAAACTGGGGGGGGACTATTCTCAACACCTGTCAGTGGTGTCCCCTACGAACCTCCAGCTCTCACTGTAGAGTCTGCAGAGCCGAGATTGAGTAACAAAGTCCTCACTTCGAAGAGGATTCCCAATCGCTTTCGCGGTCTGTATCGTCTTCATCTCTCAACACATTCCCCTACCACCACTATCATGAAGTTAACCACGATCAGATCAGATGGTAGGGTCGGAGCCCTACTCGTCACCCACCCTTGATCATGGAGGAAAAGCCATCCGATGAGTTTCCGGAGCGTACCCAGCACCCGATACGGAGATGGTGGATTGGATCAAGTCGACCTCGACTGTTACAAAGAAGGGAGATATAGATGAATATGCGCACCTCATGTGGTCCCAGTGTCTAGGCCTCACCTGGCTGGGGCTGCAGGTTTTTTGAGACTTTTTCCCGCGCACGCAGTTTCCATTGCTACCATTTTTATTTTTTTTGGGTAGAAGGTTCCGTGGAAAAGGTGACTGAATTCCACGGGTAAATACTGAGCTGAATGGCTATTCATCAAGGGGAATATATCAATGATCTTTCAAGAAACATGAGAGGCAAAGAGCACTGTACAAGATATGGCCTAGGTCAGGGAGGAGCCCAATGTGCTAGATAGTCATAGACTCAAGTAGTACAATAAAACACACACACACACACACCCACGCCATACATCCGCTCATATGTCCAATAGGTAGCCTGAAGCGCTACCATATTACCTACTCCAACCTCTTAAATACATACGAGATCGTGTCGGGAACCTAGACGAAATGGAGGGCCCATACGTCCACAACACTCCGTGTCTCCATTTCCAACACCTTGTCCGGTCTCCGAAATGCGCGGAGATGAGCAAGGTCTCAATCAAAGGGAAGGAAAAAGCCCTCCCCGCCGTCACTGAACCCGATACTGATATGATCGGGTCAGTCGAAATTGTTGAGGAAATTCCTCTGCGACCCTCCGTCCCCCACAGGATTGGAGAATCATCCAAACCACCTCCGACCACCTCAAAACCGTCGGAAAACGCTGCACCCATAGCAGCGTCAACATCAACGTCGCAGCCAAAAGCTGTCACAAAAGCAGAGTGTCCCCTCGAGCTCCGACCAATTGTCGAAGCTGAACAACGACGCGCCGCCGAAATAGCGGCAAATCTGGCCCTCTGCTCCGCCGCCATCTCTGGTATCGAAGCCACCCTTCTTCTTTTGACCAACGGGTCAAACAGACAATTCGTAGACTCGATGAGAGTCTACCTACGCTCCGCCATCGCGCAATACATGACTACGGGCCCGGTCACCACGCCACCCGTTCTCCCTCCTCGCCCGGAAAACCCTCCCCCAAGGGCTCCCGACGGCAGGAGTAACACAACTCCTGCCGTCCCAGTTCTGCCTGTCAAAAGCACCTGGGCCACGGTGGCCAGACACGGACTGCAACAAAAAGCAGTCCCAACTGTAAAGGCTGTGCCGCGACCTGCGGCCAAAGCCCAACAAAAAGAAGCCCCCAAGGCGAAAGTCGACAAGCGACTGTTCCTTTGCCTTGAAAAGGACCACTCGTGGCGAAAACTGTCCACAAGTAGCGAGAGAACTACGTTGGAGTAAACATTCGGCTACTTTAACCAAGAAATAACCTCACTCCATCGAGTGAGAACCGGCTTTGCTATGCTAGCAAAGAATGACACTATACGACAAGAGACGTTAGATGGCTCTTCGAAGCTGGCGAGTGAAAGCGTCAAACTCGATGCATCTTTGGATGTTGTCGCCTTACAGATACCGAACGTACCTGTAAGTATAGTTACAGTTTGCGGCCCTAGGGCGGTCGATGCTAGGTGGGTCTCCGCCATGATTCACAGTACGACCGGCGCGCTTCCAATCCAGGTCCGACCTCATGGGACATGTCGACCTGGAGCACCATATAGAAACTGGCATGCCCCTTTTCCCCGGGACTACGCCCCTCTGACGAGTCTGGTATGGCTACCATTCACAAGCCTCGTCGCCAAATTGAACAGGGTAAACGCTATTTGGGCTTCCACGCCACCCGTGGCTGCTCCCGCGCTCCAGCCTGCTGGAACTGTGGCTCCAACATGCACTCGGAAGCCGAGTGCAAGGCCCTCACTAAGTGTCGCAACTGTGGGGGACCCCATCGATCGGATTCTCGGGCCTGCCAAGTCAGACCCAGAAAGTCCGGACCGGTAACCAAAGAGCAGCTCGCGTGGATTCGCCACCTCGAGCAAGGGAAGTTCGCGGAGGCGGCTCGAGCTAGGGCCGCAGCCAAAAAGGCCGAAGAGGCGATTGTCGCTGCGGCGAAGGATGTCGCAATGGCCGAGACAACAGGTTTCGGAGTGCTGGGACCTGGAGAAGAAGCCTGAGGGAACAGCAACCTCGACGATGTCCCTTCTGGGGCATCTACTAACTAATAGCTGGATAAAAGGTTCCTGCTAACTCATCTTTTGCTCTCAGCATAGAAGAAGCAAAATTTGTCATTTGGAAGGTGTGATGGACCAGGGAATGTGTGAGGAGCATATTGCTTGGGTCAAATATGGAGGAATCTTCTGGTTTTCGGAGTTGTTTTGATTTTCTTGATTTTTCGTTTCTGTTTAATCAGCTGCACTTTTGGTAGCGATTCACGAGTTTGGAATGAGTTGGGCCTGTATACAGTGATCCTCACCGGCTCCACCTGTCTTTGACCCATTGTGGAAAAAATAGCACTAGCTTAGGACAAAAACAAAAAAACAACCCAAAACAACCTTAGGGTCTCGTGTTAGCCAGCTCAGTCTACATAAACTATCCAACGTGCCGATACCTTTAAATAAGCCCGACATGTTATAAATGGGCCAAGGCCTACCTGCCATGCACCCCGAACTATCGAAAGAAGGCAAAAGTACTCTCAAGTTGAGACTTTTGTATTCTAATACAGTAGAGAAGATAGTTATATATATGATAAGGAAAGTTATCCATCACCTAGACAAGAAGTCTTCAACTCAAATACCCGTTGTCATACGGTATATGCTAGAAAGCTCTCGCATCATGTAATTAGATATGTCATGTTTTTATAATTACATCTCTATTATCTGATTATCTATCAGAAGCATAGTGTTAAAGAGGTATATGTATTTATTTGAGAGCTTTATTCACCTAATTATATATGCATTCACATGATGGCAAAGAAGTATGACGTATAGTGTATCAATCTTTCATCAAGTTATAGTTCATTCATATATTGAAATTGATGAGATCTATCTCACTCACTAAATTTCTCTTAAATACGGTTTATGAACATCTTGATATATCTATTCTTCGATAGTCTAGACAATTCCCAAATGAAGTGAACCATGACTAGTCTATCACCAAAAGTTGTTCCTTCATCGCTAGTGACGACGCTATCAGAGCCAAACCCTATACCCGAAAATCCAATCAATGTTGACCCAGAGCAGTCATCTAGGAAGATAACTTCATACTTTTCTCAAAGTCAGCTAGCTTTAGCTTTTGTGATTCAAAAATCAAAACCTAATCATTACACAACAGCTGGTAAGTCCTGACCCTGAGATAGCCATACGAGGAATTGATTTCAGAAAGAGTATTGTCAGTTTTTACGGCAGCATATAAAGGAGGGGAAACCAACATCGTGCAAAGAACTTCGCTATGTTGATAGTGTGGATTTTTGGAAAGATCAATACAACAAAATTTATATTAAGAACAAGAAATTAGAGGAAAAGATACAATTCTTTGATTCGTTTCAGGACCTTTCTCCAGACAGGGGCAAGAATGATCATGAGTCCTTATCAATGAATGACTATGTGCGAAGAATCCTGAATGGTGCTAACCCGAGAGCTTGTCCAAATTTAAGACGATCAAAGAAGCGACCAGCAGTCTTAAGAGACTCCGTAATCTTGGGAGTCCAACGTGGCAGGGATGCATTTGATAATGACCTAACATTAAAACTTTGCAGTAATGGCAAGTAATTTCCAGATTATTGCTACAGAAATGGCTTTTAATCCATTTTAGTTCTTCGTATTCGAAGACAGCGAAATTTGCTGGGACAGATAGTTTTGAACATTGAAACCCTTGACCACATCAATCTGTTAGCGAGGCAAATAACGAAAATTTTGGACATTATCGATAATGTCCTCATAGACTGTTGTCATTCATGCCAGTTTATTAAAGTGGATGCAGAAAATCCACAGATCCTAACTTTGTTCCAGCATATTATGAACCAGACTACCCAATCAATCTCATGTTGTTTTGATGGATTGAATAAGCTCTGCAGTACCCATATCAGCAACTCCAATGCTCGTCAAATCACGTACCGCGTGGTTACATTCTTTAGTAACTCTCTAAAGCTTTTACATGAAATTGGTCACATACAGGCCAAAAATGAAATTGTTCAATCCCGAAGTATTCGTGGTAAACGTGTAAGACAGATGAACAGTGAATATGTTGTTAACAAAGACCTAGCTAGCTGTTTAACATATATTCTTAAAAGTATTGACTGGAAGCCTAACAACCCCTATCACAGTGACCTTCTTGAAGGAATCTTATTCTCGATTCTGGAACACACAGGTCGTTTGGTATCCGAAGCGGTCTTCTCAGAGCATGTAGCCGCATCAGACTATCAGGGGAAAATGACGAAAGACACATTACATTTCAACGAAGATTTTGTAAGGTTCGAGGCCATATATATTGTTCAGATACTCCAAGCTGCTTTGGGAGGGTCGAAAAATAGGCTACTCATTGCTGAGGTGCTCGCTGCAGGAAGTTCTCTTAACGATGATCAATGTGCATCCCAGTCATCTAGCCTTTCCGATAATTTGCTTTTAAAAACAAACATGCTTTTGCAAGGTACATTAGTCAAAAGTGCCGTTGGAAGTAATGATTTGGAAGGACTGCGTCTTCCAGTACCTCCGATTGAGAAGTCCCGGTCTGAGTATAGCGAGGGGTTACCCGTAAACGGGTATGGGTCAGAATGGCTACTTGAGACTGTTTGGAAATTGGTTGGCTGGGACTTGGTTACTTGAGTTCAACATATTTTTCCTCAAAGGCTAGATCATATTTGCTAACAAAGTTTGGCTACTTTCTCGAAAAATCTTAAGTTCCTAAAACCAAAATTTGTTCTTTAATGAATTACCCAAGCAAGCAGTGGTAATTTGTTGGAACAAAATTGGAGATTTTATGTATGGTATATTTTTAGCTCCTGACATAGATTGCACGAGGATGTTCAGGTTTTGTTTGGTTTGATTTGTTCATTACGTGCTAGGTAAATTGACTACCGTTGCACTCCTACTGGAGCTTAAGCACGGGTGAGGCCAGGCTGGATCAGGTTAAATACCATTAAATAAATCTACTTCGCCCCACCTGAATGACCGGACCACCTCAGATTTCACCCGTGTGTTGAATCATGTTAAGCCCAACCGCCCAGAGAACCCTCTTTTGACGCACCGAAGCGTAAATTCCTGCTCGGCCACCACGCGCCCGAGCCCTTGACACCTTCGCGATCTATAAATTTTTCCTTCCATTCAGTCCCAGCTTTGGCTCATCTCATCCAGGGGTTATTCTCTTCATTGGACGAGGATATTTAGGGTCGCATGGTGCATTAATATACTATTTTGATTGGTCCCCTACATAGCATCGACATAACTTGGTGAACATTCAAATATATCCCATGAGTCCGTTTGTTTGGCTCAATCAGGTATACATGTAGGAGGAAAAGGACTGAATTACAGTCCGCGGTATCCACTATGAACCTAGGGGTTAAATATTCTCCGAGAGCCAATTCTTGTCAAATTTCGCAATATCGAAGATGGCCCACCAGACAGTCATTAAATCCTCGATACCAATTCAAGTCTGCACTCCTAACAAGATTGTTCCTGACCAGAGTTTCATCAAGTCATCAAATACAGCTTGTTGCGTCCTCATTTCTTTAACCAAACCTCTCGTCAAATCAGCCTCAGTGTTATGAATCTACTTATTGGCAGATTTTCGAAGCTGTTAAGCTGCAGAGGTCGAGTCGATTTCGACGAAGACAAATTATCGAAGGTTCGAGATTACAAAGTTACGAAGGTCGAAGTTACGAAGGTTACGAAGGTGCGAATTGGTTACGAGGAGACATATGGTGATCGAGGCTCGGATTATCAAAGTTACAAATTCATATGTTCAAATTATCATATTATCAAAATATCGAGTTCCCAATAAGTAAATTATACAATAAACAGAAAAGTTGTTAGAACTAAAGGACCAATTCAAATTTGCAGCCTGAACAAATCCAAATCCTGTTGCCTCAGACCTAACCGAATTAAGAAGATAACCCCTGCATCTGTTGTGGTTATGAGCTGTGAGGTATATAGCAATTATGTCTCTGCTGTCCGTCGGTGGAATTACACGGGCTCATGTACAATGGTAAGTCGCGGAGATGGCGCGCTCACGCTGGGTGATGGCACGATGGACACTGAGTGCGTATCACTGTGGCCAAATCGGTGTCAGTAGGTATCAAATGTGAACTCTCACTGACAATGGTGATCTATGAAGGTGATGCTAGATTTGCATCCCAACGATTGATAATATCATCTAATGGATGATGTGAAGTATGATATTATTTTGGATAGATTGATTCACTAAACTCGGCAGGTGAAGAGATTGTAGAGTACATGAACAGCGTCTGTGCACCAGCCTGTATTTTCCACCCTTTCCTAATCCAGCAGCCCATCCTCCGTTCCCCTGTCTCCTAACAACTCAACCGAGCTAGCACAACAGCATCACCACATCCAGATTAAATCTAACAAATTCATAACACTCTGGCCTCAACTGGCTATCACATACACGCCTACGCCAATATTTCTAAACTTCGGAGGAAACAAGTCATGATGCAAAAATCTAGGAGGCAGATTTTTGAGATGGGTAAGAGAGAAATATGGACAAGTGGACAAGATGATGCAAATATTGCAAACAATATTGGAAGAGATGAGATTTCGATTTTTGGAAAGAGGTTTTCAAGTTCACCATTTTGCACACCAGGCCTTTAATTACGAGAGTATAGGCTATTCTGTAAACACCGCAATTGTTGGATGGTGCGGTGGTATATCATCTTGGCCGGTCTCCTAAGCAAATTCTGGATAGCTCGGACATATATCACTCGGGAGACAGCAGATCGCCGGTTTGAATCTGGCAAGACACAACTATATATCACGTGGAACTGATGTGTACGAGTAACAAAGTGTTACAGGCTGCGCCTTACATCCATGTGCTTGTACCTATCTATGTGCAAATCGCCGATGTTCTGTTACGGGGTTAAAAGTGATCGCCGATCCAACAAATACGAATCGTCGATAGATCACCTCAAGAATGCGGATGATCACCGATCCGATGGATATTAACCTCCCTGGGGTCAGAGCTACATGTATATATTTCCTACAGCCTAGATAGATACCATTTCCTAGATAATTAGAAAATAGACTGTATTACGGCCAGCTTACTTTGTTCTTATTGTTTTGGTGATAGCCCATCACATATTTTCTAATTCAATTTCCAATTTCCGGCTTGCTAATCAAGAAGGATATAACAGATTCACTGTCGTGTATGTTCCGGGTCCCTTTCTCAGACAGCGATTCAACCGACTGTTATAAATCTCGAGTCACGGATTCAGAAAACGACTGAATAGACGAAGAGAAATTTGCGGCTGCCATTTCAGAAAAAAGCTCGAGCGATTACGAAAGTTGTAACTGGCAACAATTTCAAACAATGTCAGATCAAAATATGTCAGATCACGTCTTTTCGCCCGTGGAGCAACAGGATGAGCCACAAGGACGTCCAGAGTAACCCGGCCAACAAACACGACAACCTGGGCTTGCAAACATTCCCAATATCACACCGTCCCAATATCAAGCCCTCCGAGAGATAATAATGGCTGGGATCGCAAGCCAACAATCTCAGCAACCTCAGCAACCTCCAACACTTCAACAACCCCAACTATCCCAGCCTGCTCATCCAACTCAGCAATCCCAATCAATTCAACCCTCACAACCCCCCTTCTTAACTTCAACCAAGCAACCGAGCCAATGGCCAGTTTGGGATGGATCTACAACATCCCTCAATGCCCACCTATTTCTTCTGAGAATTAAGATTGAAGAGGATCGAGCTGTACTCGGCTCTAATAGAGCTATTTGTTTCGATATTTTTCGCTCTGTCCCGTCAGATAAGCAACCAAGAATCTTAAACTGGCTTGAAACTGGTGGTTTTGATAGTAATTACAATTGGAATCATTTTCTAGATCACCTGAGGGAAACATATGAGAATAAGTTAACCCGCCAAACGGCAGCTGATCAACTCGGTCGAATTCGAATGGATGCCACTCAGTATTTTGTGGAATACCTTCAGGAATATGAGTTAAAGATTTCACAATGTGGAAAAACAGGTTAGACGGATGAATATAAAATATTGCATCTAGAAATTGCCATCAATGCCCCGCTTCGTCAGCTGCTGATGAACAAAAACTTGCCGGAAGACGGTTATGCTAAATGGATTTCCAAAGTTAAAAGTGTCATGAATGCGCTTTTCACATTAGTAGTAAATCGTCATCCACGTAGTGTAGCATGCAGAGCCAGGGAAATAGAAACAGGTTAGTTATAAATTAGATACCACCGATCGCTACACTCACCCATAGATCACTCCTAGAAGAGACTAGCTACGGCGCTATCTGGATGTATGTGGGATTGGTTAATTATCATGTAGATAACCCGTAATATAAGATAACATAACACAATAAGATACCATTCGCATCCCGTAACATTTATTGCCATACTCACCCAAGTATATTCTAAGCCCCCTGAATAGTCACAACCATTCAATTGAAGATACCAAGTGTATACAACCATATACATCACCACCCTTCAATAAAAAGGATCTCTGGTCGTCTTGAAAATTCACCGTCTTATCGGCCCCGCGGCTCTTCAGGAAGCAAGACGTGGTATGTGGCCCATAACGGATCGAACCTGCAAGTACTATCTCAAACGCCAACATCGAACCAACAGCCGGTCATAGATGCAGATGGGGATACAAAAATGGGTGGCGTCAATGCCTTAAAAATTCTTCAAACAGCAATTATGGCCCTCAATGCAGGACATGATAATACTGCCGACAATAGACCCAGAGCTAAGTGGAGATTTAAAGATGAATTTCAAAGGCTTTCAAACGAAGGTAAGTGCATAAGGTGCCGAAAAATGGGACAAAAATCTCGAAATTGCCCTACTTACCGACCAGCTATACGGCCGAAAGAAATTGCTAGTCTCAACAGCTCACGGATAAAAGAATTTGAAAAGAACTCAAAGGATATTAAAATGGAGTTGGAGGAGTTAGAAAATGATCTGTCGGGGGAAGACTAACGTCTGAACAACGTCGCTTTCAGAGGGAGGGAGAAATTTGCAATAATAAGATTGAAACAGCTTTAGACGATATGAATAGCTCACCATTTTTAATTGATTGCCAGTTAAATTCTAGCTTTTACGTACATGCCTTAATTGATACAGGCTGTCTATGTTTTGCTGCCTTATCAAAAGATCTTGTGAAAGCCAATAATTTCCCGCGCATAAAAATTTCAAAACAAATTCTCCTATCAGCTGAGAAAGATGAAAAAGAAAGAACAATTAACGAGATAACTTTTGCTGACTTAGACATCGATGGAAGAAAAGAAAGAGTCTATGGATATATAATCCAAGATCTATCTTACCAGCTTATACTTGGGAAACCATGGATGGAGCAAAATGATGTTGTTTATCTTGCAAAAAAAAGAGAAATTCGTTTCGGAACAAGGGCAGACAGTTTAATTGTTAGAGAAAAGGGCTGGTACCATAGCCATGACTCTTCTGGTTTCAAAACAAATATACATTTTGTCGCCACTGCTGTTAGGGTTGTAAGCTCAACTTTTATCTCGTTGATCAAACTAGCCAAGGGAAAACCTGGATCACGGATTTTCGCTATATCGATGGAGGATATAAACAAAGCTCTAGAAACCAAAGCGACTGACACATCGAGTCTGATCAAAGCTCAACCACCGAACGAAATTATACACTGGTTACAACTTTTTATCGAAGATCAGGAAAGTACTCTCCCGCCACACCGAGCATCGGATGTGAAAAAAAATTGGAAAAAGATGATAGAGGTAGAGAAAAGCCAATACCATGGGGGCCTCTCTATGGTATGTGAAGAGACGAATTGTTGGTCCTAAGAAAATGTTACGGGTCCACAACTAATGTCGATCCCTCGCATATTAGCGCGCACTTGGCATATATGTAGAACGTGTTTTCCCTCTGTATTTACCTTTCATTCCTCATAGAGAATCTGAATAGACAACTTTCCCTCGTTTGATTGACTAAATTACGACCTGTTTCGTGACATATTCAGATTCTCTCATTCTTACTACGTGTTGCACGACGTCTCGCTTAAGCAACACGCATCATCTGTTCAACCCCTGACAGCCGTCGTATTTCAATAGTCCAATTTGACTATACCAGCTTGGAAGAGTACTAACGCTTAGCACATCAGCTCATAGATACCGAATGGGCACACCAGGAATTAAAGAAAAATTCAAACAAACTTTCGAGCAACCACCGTCCAGCCACCTTCCGATAAAAATGTTCGACAAGTGGCCAAAGTGGTCCGGCAACGCATCCGATTTTGCCACGTTCCAGATAAGCCTCGAAGGGATTGCAGAAGACGACAATATCAGGAAGTCCCTAGGCAACGAGAAGGCTTTCTGTTACGGGGTCTATACCCACTCCTTACCTCCCGACGCTCAGAAAAGGGTTGCCCCATAGATGATTGAGAAAAAGAAATCCAAATAGTGGAATATCCTGGAATTTTTGGCTAACCTGGAGGACCTCTTCACTGATAAAGACGTGCCGTCCAAAGCGCAGACTGCTCTGCACTCCATCAAACAAGGACCACGTCAACATTTCGCTAGATTTAGGAGTGTATTCAAACAGCACTGCTCCGAGGCTGGAATACTCGCTCCCAACGACGCGTCCAAGGTCAACGCGATGAAAGAGGGGCTAGCGCCGCATTTACGTAAAGGTCTTGCCTATAGATCCGGCATATCTAACACGGACTATGACAGCTTTGTAGTCGGAGTTCAGGAAATGGCCAATGAGTTGGAAAAGCTGCCCGAGTTCTCTATGGCCACGGGATCAGATAAGGAATTTTACCAACGCATCTGTTACGGTTTGACCGTTGTTTGAGCTTAGGTGGATACGTAAGCCTGTTACTAAGAATTCTTACGATGAGGCTATATGAGGGGGAGATGAAGCTGAACGAAACGGGACTACTACTCAGGAGGCTGAAGCGTTATTACAACTTAGTGACACCTGTAAATACGTGGCTGGGTAAGAAGTATTGTGCCTAAGGACAAGTCACTAGTCTGTAGATTCACGAGGAGGATTAACTCCTATAAATACCTGTTAGTAGTAGCTAGAGTTAGCTTTTCTCCTCATATAGTTTATTAAATCGATTTATTCATCACCAACTCGGTTTCCGTCACAGCATCGACTTTTGGCGGCCTCCTCACACTCAAACCAACCAAGCTCAGGTTACTCCAGCCCATTCACAACATCAGCCTCAACCCAATCTCTACAGCCACTCTTTTACTCCTGTTGATCAGGACGGCGATGTCCAGATGGGTGGGATAAACGCCCTACAGGCCCAAATGCAATCTCTACTAGCTGCATTTAAAGGCACTCAAGGAAAAGGAGACATTAGGAATAAAGAGTTTAGAACCGATAACCGTCCATTTCCGCCTGATTTACCTCAGCCAGAACGTAACCGTAGGGTTGAACAGGGTCAGTGAGAGAGATGCGGTAGATCTCCTTCACACAGATGGAGCGAGTGTAGGTACCGAAATTTCCGCGTTGATCCTACACCTAGAGGCTCTGGTAGGTTCCGAAACTCGGTCGTCAATGCGGCCTCAACTAATTCCAACCTTTTTAATGAACATTCGTCTCGTTCTGATTCGGGAAACGAATGACCTCTGAGCGAATTCGTGTTCAGAGGCAACAGGTTTGGGATTCTTTTGGGATAAATCTGGCAACAAGGCCATTTAAAATTGAAATCTTACAGGCTAAGAATAGAATGGATAGCAAACCATTTTTAATAGATGCCTTTATAAATGATCATTTTTATCTCTCAGCTCTTTTTGACTCCGGCTGCCTTCCATATGCTGCATTTAGTGAAGAGACTGTTAAATAAAGAAACCTGCCACGCATTCTTGTAGAACCTAGAGAGCTTAAGCTCACGAAAGATGATGATAAAAGCTACAAAATTAACTATATTACGTTCGTTACTTTAGATATTAGCGGCCGAAAAGAAAGATTATGGGGATACATAATCCACGGATTACACTATGATCTAATCCTCGGTAAAGGCTGGGCCGAAAGAAATAACGCTGTCTACCAAGCAGGAGACCATGTCTTGCATATTGGTCAAGGACATCAGAAAGTGAAGATTTACGAAAGTACCGAGAGTAGCAGTGACCAAGCTGAAGATTAAACAAAATATATAAGAGAAGCCAAATTAGTGTCTGCGCATGTATTTTCTGCCCTTACAAGGCGTGCGCGTAACAATAAGGAAGAACTTATCCTTGCATCCGTCACCATATCGGACATAAATAAAGCGTTGGAAAATCTAAGTGAAACGCGTGTCAGACCTACTGTTGAATCAATCCATGGGTTACTTCCTGGACAACTGCATGGGCTCGAAGAGGTTTTCCAAGAAGATAGCTCAAGTGACCTACCCCCTCATCGACCTGGACACGATATGGAAATTGACCTCGAAAAAGATGATAAAAATGTTGAAAAGAAACCGCCATATGGGCCTCTTTATGAAATGTCAAGAGAAGAATTGTTAGTTCTTCGCAAAACTTTAGCAGATCTCCTAGATAAGGGATGGATACGCGCGAGTGCTTCACCTTCTAGTTCACCGGTATTGTTTGCCAAAAAGCCCTCTGGTAGCCTGCGGTTTTGCGTTGACTACCGCGGTCTTAACGCTATTACAAAAAAAGACCGTTATCCTCTACCGCTCATCCGAGAGACCATGCGCCAACTATCTAAAGCACGTTGGTTCACTAAAATAGATGTGCGCGCAGCATTCCACAGATTGCGAATCAAGGAAGGGGACGAATGGAAAACAGCCTTCCGTACCAGACAAGGTCTTTTTGAATGGCTAGTATGCCCCTTTGGTCTTTGTGGAGCGCCTTCGACATTTCAAAGGTTTATTAATAATACTTTGCGCGAGTATCTGGACATCTTTTGTTCTGCATACTAAGACGATGTGATAATCTATACTGACGGAGACCTGCAAGACCATTATGGTAAAGTCCGTAAAGTTATTGGCGCTTTAAAAATTGCGGGTCTACGCATGGACATTGACAAATG